TCTCTCTCTCTCTCCCTCCCTCCCTCCCTATGATGGCTAGTAGTATCTCCTACCTTCCTACCTACCTACCTACCTACCTACCTACCTACCTACCTACCTACCTACCTACCTACCTACCTACCTACCTATCTATCTATCTATCTATCATCTATCTATCTATCTATCTATCTATCTATCTATCTATCTATCTATCTATCTATCTATCACTCTATTTCTCTATCACTCTCTCTCTCTCTCTCCCTCCCTCCCTCTCATTCTCTATGATGGCTAGCAGGCTTCCTCAAAGAAAGCTAAACTCCAGGTGGGAGAACACAGCACTATTGTTCAAAGCCGCAAAAAACTCCTTTGCATTTCTCCCCGGCAGGAGTTTCAATTAGCTTCTCTTATTCCATCACGCTCTGCGTTCTGTCTTTGTTCTGTTTATATTCAACTTTTTTCTCTCCCTCTCTCCTCCTTAACATCTGTTTCTTCCCTCTTTTTTATTTTATTTTTTTATTTTCCTACGCAGATCATGCCCTTCTGGCTAGACTAAAACAGAGCGGGCCAAAGAATTTCGAGGCTGCTCGTGACAGCCAAAGAGATAAATGTTTGGCCAAGTTTTAAAATGGGAGCAGATACGGAATCTGAGAGCGTGCTGTGTTTTTGAATTGTTAGGCTTTTTATCTGCCTGGATGCTTTCATGCACTGAGGTGTTTTCACAATCTGGAACTCCACCTTTTGAAAAAGAATCCACAGATACAGACTTACCGCTATAATTGAGACCTGAAATTCCATCGCTAAACAAGGGACCGATTCTACGATTTTTTTGGCCATGGGTTGTTAAACAAATCACTTCAGTTGTTCACTGAACGACATGCGGTCGTTAAATAAATCCACCTTCCCCCATTGGCTTTGCTTGCCAGAAGTTCACTAGCTGTACTCAGCCTGATTCAAACATATTGCTCCACTTGTTCATTTTGCACAAATTCACCAACAATGGCGCCACATTGTCAGAAAAGAAAGAGAGTGTGTGAAAGACAGAGAAAAAAGAGAAAGAGAGAGATAAGCAGAGAAAAAGAAGAGAGAGAGAGAGAGAAAGAGGGAAGAGAGAGATAAACCCCGATTTGC